TAATGGCTCTGCCCCCTTCCCAGACCTGGGCACACCTGGGCAACCTCTGGGTCTTGAAACACTTTCCCTTCTCTTTTTTGTTCCCCACCTCAGGGAGATGAATATATGTGTACATACAACATCAACCACACCTGATAACAAGCTTCAACTCCTAAAGATATCCCATTCCTCCAGAGTCCAGGTAATAGATTGCTGAGTATTTCAACCTGAAATAGTGGCTGTACTTGGGCAGAAGTGATGACAGTGATGCCACTAAAGGCAATGCTGCTAAGCTCAATCTTGGCAGAGAATCCCTTATGCTCGAACCCAAATTTCATTGGTTTTCACAAGGTGCCTCACCAGTCTTTGCGGGAAACCACCAGCACTTTTACTAGCTCTGTTCTGAGAAGTTTAGGGCTCTTACTTTTGGATATTGGCTTAATTTATTTTCTGAAGTTTCCACCTTTTTCTGTGTTTCCGTCCCAAGTCTGTCTTTGATTTTGTCAAGTGCTTCTCTTACTGGTTCCATCATGGATCAAGAGCTAAAATTCCACGCTTTTGGAAAGTCTCATTTGACACCAGAAATACACTTTGGCATGGGACTTTAGTTAGTGCTCAGGACTTCATCAGATGGCTAGGAGGGAAAAAAGATTATTTAAATTGGGTATGGTATTTGTTAGAAAAAGAATCTTAATTTTTCTCACTCCATGTAAGACTTGAAGAGAAACAATTTCCCTGTAGAATAAGGTTCTCAAGTGTTGGTTTTGGAAAAAAAAATTCAAACTTACAAAACATTTTATTTAGATAAAAATAAAATGTTAAATTCCAAAATTAGCAACTTAATTTTAGCTGCTACATGTAATACAATACAACAATAAAAAGATGCACTCTTTGCCTAACATCATGCTTACTGTTTACGTGTATTTCATTATGTTCTGTATTTCATTGAATTTATCTGTGAATTTGAAATAAAAGGTTTGTGATGATGTTTAGTTTGGTTATAGAATGTGGTGACTGGTAACCTAATTACCTAATTACTACTGAAATGGGTAATTGCTATGTAATTGATATTTGTTATCCTAATTGCTTTGTTAATAGGGACTTTGTTCATGGGTAATTGGTAAATTTGTTATTTAGCTAAATGGTACAACAGAATTTGGTAAAGCACCAAAAAAGTGTATGGGGGGGAGTGGGGGTGGGGGTGGGCAGGGCTCAATCCCCACTTGTGTACTCAGGCAGGGATGGAGGACCTGGCAGCAAGTAGAGGCTCCCACCTCCTTCCCAGGGGGAGGAGGAGGCCACTGAGCCTGGGCATCCCTGTCGAATGCTCCACGTGCTGCTGAGCCCACCCTTCCAAACCCACAGACACCTGGAGGCAGGTACCACCCATGGCCAGTGCCCTGTGCGTGGGGTGCTGTGTGCAATGGCTGCATGCACTGGGGGCGGTGGAGGAAGACGGGTGGTCCAAGTGCTGAAGCCCAAACCCCAACCTTCAGGGCTCAGCCTTACTGCCAGAGGCAGGTCTGGATGGCAGGGTGGCAGGGCGAGAGCAGGAGACTCCAGTTCAATGGCTGAAGGATAAGACAGCGATCAGAAGTATCTTGTCCCAAATCCCAATTGCACTTGTGAGTTAGGGGCTATGTCCAGAGATTTTGCACTGTGTGGCCTTGCTAGGAAATGTCAGAAGTCTAAAATCACAAAAGGAGGAAAGGTCCTTGCCCCAAAGTGCTCACTATCTATTGTAGACATGGGGTGAAAGGGGAAAGAGGCAAAACGTTAACACAGCAGACCAAAGGTAGCACAGGAAATAAAATCTGTATTTCTGTGTCTCAGCCCAGTGCCTTATGTCTGCTGTCCAAGTTTTTTAAATTATATTCAGACAGTGGGACTGCGAGTAATTGTTTTTAGAGCAGGTTAACAGGTGGGTTTACGTCATGTATATATGAATGGGACGGAGGAGAACCCACTTCTCCAATCCTTAGGCTGAAAAGGACATGAAAGCAGTCCATCCTTCCCATCTCACTACCTATCAGCTGCATTATCATTGGTATTTTCATAACCAGTTAGGCTCAGACAAGTTGAAGGAGCCAAGGCCAGCCAGAGATGCAGACACACTGATGCTACCTGGCAGGCTAAGAACATCACCGTGTCCTTCTAGGACAGCACCAAAATACAGTGACACAGACCATGCCTGTGGCTAAGGCCTCACAAGCAAAAAGACTGGTTTGTACCACCTTCATCCACCTTGCTAAGTCCCTTCATCAGCACAGACAAGCCCTCAGCCTACAGAAGCAGGTTGTCTTTGTCACTCAGCATTTCACTTGATGCTGCAAAACCACAAAAGGCTGGAGAGATAGAGGAACAGGTTCAGGACTGTTTCCTTTAGGGAGTCCAAGCTGAGGAACATCAAACCTAGTTTTTGTGGGCAACCCACACTGTACCTATATGTGTGGTCCAGTTCAGATGAGGACCGTGCTTTTGAAGTGCATCTCTTGACCTCTGCTGCTGTGCTTTGGGTCGCCTCATGGAGCAGTCTCAGGGCACACAAATGGGCTGGGCACCATGGCTTTTCAGCAGAGAGCTGCTACTTGCCACTGGTGACTGCAGCAGGGGTAGGTCTGAGGGGGACAAGGATGGCAGTATTAGAGCTCTCCTTAGGCTGGCATGGCCAGGAGGTCTCAGGGACAAGACTGGTGAGGGGGGAGAGGATGGGGAAGAAGAGGGGAAACCCTTACCTCACTCTTGCAACCCAGGGACCCTGGTGGATGCTACCACAGTTGCTTCCCTGTTCTGTTTCCTACTGGTATCCACTCACGATTAGAAGACAGATAAAAAGCAAGAATAACAAAAGCAAAGTGCTCTTTCTGTATCTGTCTCAAGGATGACATGCTCAAACTCATGTGCAATTTAGTAAATCCTCTCTGGAGAGGAGAGAAGGAAATTATATTTTCAGTTTAGGTAACAGGTAATATGATCTGCGGTTCCAGTGTGTGTCGTGGATGGGATGCTGATCACAGGCACCAAGGAAAATGAGGGAATAAGATTTCTTTACAGGTAGTTCTTTCAACACCTTACATCCAATTGCTGAACAGTGAGGTCCCTAAATTAGCATTTTTGGGGACCTCAGGCCCTAATCAGGCCTCTAAACACGTGCGCTTTTCAAAACTAATAAGTAACTCCAGGAGGACTACGCATGTCAGCTTATGGTCCTGGTATATATTTATTAAGGACAGCAGCTAACACTAAAAGAGAAAGGTATTCCACAGTAAGAAATGCTAATAAATATTATTTTATGTTGTATTCTCATATGAATATGTACTGCATATTCAAAAAATTTTCTTCATATGTGTACAGTCTGAATCTGCCATCATTTTTCATCTGGCTAACAGTTAAAGCATAAAGGCTTCTTTTATGGGGGTATACCATTCTTCTTGCATCCAGTTTCCAGGCTTCTGCTCTCCACATGATGCTGCTAATACGATGTGCCCCATCACTCATCTGCCTCAGCAAGGAGAGCATCCAATCAGCTTAGTTACACACCACTGGCCATGCTCCTCTTCAGATATCTTTTGACTTCAGTTTCCCACTGTGTTAGGGGGAAGGAAAACTGTTCCAGAGGGGTTGATATGGACTGTGGGGTATCTGAGCTTCAAAGGTGGGCAAGGAAATGCACGCTGTCATCAGAGACTGGCACGTTTGTGCTGTTCAGCCCCAGCTGGCAGGCTGATGGTGCTTGCCAGCATTTACTCCCAGCCTTGTAGGTACAGCTCAGTGTGAGCAATTTTAGCAGTCTTATACTGACAAGTTTGTTCCTGCAGTAAAATTCTGTGTGTGCATCTGTGGGGAGGAGGAGGGACAGGTAAGAAACCAGATGGGTCAAAACAGTCATCACTTTCAGCTGCTCCACAGCCTTCCCCAGCGAACACTTGCTGCCCTTGGTGCACCTGTGCACACTTGCACACGCGCATGCACACATCTTCCCCTGACCGCTCCCCAAGCTGGCTGCAGCCCTCATTTTGCCACGTGCTCCTGTGCCCTCGTTTGACTTGCTGTGACAGCAGGGTCATACCTGTCCAGCTGTCCACGCTGACCTTCATTTCAGCCTGTGTTTTCCAATAACACCACGTGAGCAATTTTCTTTTTCCCCTATAATCCCTCCCGTCTGTCTGCAGGTGCTGCTCACCCTTGGAGGCTGTGATGGTGTTGGTGTCAGGTGCAACGCAGGTCCCTCCGGGGTTCATCAGTAGGGCCAGCAGAAAACGGAGAAGCAGGTGCACCAAGTGGGAAGCTAGGGGAACTCTAGAGACCAAATTACTCCTAAAAATACCTCACCCTGAAGTGACATTTGAGGTGTTATTTATTCCTTCCCCCCTCCAAGGCCTGGAGCTGGGGAGGCTGAGCACGGTGGACCTCGCCCAGGCTGCTGTGCCACGGGGCACCAGGCACCAGGCAGCACCTTGCATGCTGCCCGGATTGGGCCTGCCCCTCAGAGAGGCTCATGTGGGGGTCCAGAGGTCCCCCTCCCCTCCATAACCACACAGCTGGGGTTCAGCTCCCTCCTCCAACCAAGGAATTTCAAAGCCACATCTTCCATGAGGCCACACACTCGCCAGGGAGGGAGGGGACGGTTTCTACCGCTGGTCTCAAAGCTCAGGTGGTGGCTTGCTCTCTCTGCTGACTCTGGGCAGCTCCTTCCTCCACATCCCCATCCCTCTGGACCCCTTTTGGCAGTGCCTGGCCGGCCTACACACGTACACAGGGCCCAAGCACCCACTCAGTGCTGTGAGAGAAGGATCCACGTTGTTCACAACAAGCAAAATCCTGACCAGAAGCGGCTAGCTGCACACTTGCAGCCTACCCAGCCTGGTGGGACCTTTGTTTTCCAAGATACCTTTTGATCAGCCACCTGGAAGCCCCTGCTGGTGTTGCCTCGGGCTGTGTGTGACATTGCCAGGTAACGCCAGGGCAACGGGTGTGTTGTGAGCTCTGCAAGCATCCTTCACGAGCCTTGAGGCGCCAGCATGCAGCACCTCACAAATCCGCTTCTTCCACTCCTCAGGCACATAATTCGCAGGGGCAGCTTTGATGATACTGCTTCCAAGAGGCAGTGCCTGCAGTATTTAAGAGCTCTGAGGACGCTGCAGCTTAACGGCTTCAACACCATTTTTTTAGGGGAAACAGATATTCCAGAAAGTCTTATAACAGGAGAGAAAATAGACAAGGAGGCTGACCTGCACTGGCCGGTATGGACCATTGTTCACGCTGGCAGCAGCCAGGGGTGGGTGCCCTGGAGGTACAAGCTGCTATTAAGAGGTGATCTGCCCACCCATCAGCAGAATGGTATCTTTCAGGAGTTGTGCAGCTCTCTGACCACATCCTATGGGAAGTGCGTCATTGTGACGAGGGACAAAAGGCAGCCAATGCGTGTTGGAGAAAAAGATGGCAAGGAGACGGAAACAGGAAATCTGCCACCAGTCCCACCAGTGATCTACATGTCCAGCATTGAGTGTTGCCCTGAAGTCGCTAGAGCCAATGGCCATGAGCTTCTTGCTGTGCCTTCATCTTACAACTACCTCTACCCTATGGATGTTGCCTGGTCTTCTTTGAAATGGTTTATTATAAACAACAGGAAGGACTTTTCCCTGAAGTCTATTGAAAGGACCCACTCCTACAGGTATATCCTCTTCTATGACTTGATTGATAAAGGAATAGAGAAGATGACCGCAAACAAATGGAAGGTAGTGATTAACAGAGTGAAGAGATGGGAGAACTACTACCTTGACACACTTTCTTAAATGGTTCTTCCTGCAGTCCGGCCTCAAATATGCTTTGAATGAGTTACCCTGCTCCAGCTCTTCTGACCCCTTTCCTTCCAAAGGTGTAAACCCGAAAAACCACATGTCAATAGCACTAATAAAAGAGATGATTTTAAATTGGAATGTTTCATTTTACATGTATTCCAGAATAAGGTTGATATGCACTATGCTTGTGCTGTAAAGGGACAGTTAATTTGCCTTATCACAAAAATGAGACAAAGCGTGCCTAACATCCAGTTTAGCCAGCCTTCTGCATTAATTTCTCTATCATGGGAGTCGTGCGCCCATGCCTCAGATGTAAATGCCCTCAATTTTGAGAAAGACTGGGCTGCAGAATGAATTCTGCAGGCAGGCTTGTCTTGGACCCAAATGGGAAATCTGCTCCTGCGCAGGGAATGTGCTAGACCGTGACTATGGACAGCAGAGTCCACAGCTTAAAGAAGTCTGAAGAATTTAATGCAACCTTCCCATCATATATGCATTAACATCTGACACCAACTCAGCAGTTCATTACACCAAGTACCTTGCTTCCAGCAGTGGTCTGCAGTAAACATTTCAGTGACAGGTAAAAGAAATCTTTCTGAAAGGGAAGTTCCTTTCTGAAGCCTAACAATTAGTAGTTGGTTCAGGCTTTAAAGCATGAAGAGTTCAGTCTCTCAGGATAAAATATAGCACTCATCATTGGAGATTTTCTTTATCCATGACATCGATTACTGAGATGTAATGGTTTCTCACAGAATTTAGTTCAAAAGATTATTTATAAGTGATGCAAAGTAATATTTCTTAACAGCAGTTTTTTCAAGTTCATTGAACACTTTCTTGTTTTTTTGAAAGTGGCTCCCAATTTTCATTCTCTGTGTTGCTCATTACTGGGTATGTGTTTATTGGGTGCTTCTAAGAGAACTAAGACCATAAAAACATAAAAGAAGTAAGTTATGAGATGATTCACAGGTTCACTAAAACATTTCAATACACTGAGGCAAATCTGTACAGTTTTTCTCCTGTGTGTGGAAACCATCTAAACGAGCATTGTAATTTGGTGTAGCAGAGAGATATCTAAAAAAGGGAGTCTCATCTACCTCCAGAAGAATCCATGCATGTAATTCTCTAGAGCTGAGATGTGAATATACAGAGAGAAATAACCATATTTTCTCAGCTTCATATTGATCAGCAAAAAACATCTGCTCACTTTATACAAACAGGGATGTAGCAGAGAATGGAAAATTAGGTGCTTCAAATGCAAGGAGGAAAGAGTGAGGTAAAAAGGGGAGAGTCTGGAGAGGGGCAGGAATGTTTTTATTGTCCTAGTATCATGGCCCTGAATGTAATTTCACATTGGTTTGAAGCAGCAATTGCTCCACTAAATAGCGATGAATATGAAGTGGTGTGAAATCAGCATGAGGAAAAAAAATAGGTCCCGTGCCTCTTTGCCACAAGGATAAGCAGTAATTGCACACTAGCTTAGTTTTCTTAAGAAACACATGATGCACGCTCCATTTTCCCAATGACTGTTTACCTTCACCTGATGACACTGCACTATACTACCGGGGAGAAATAACAGTACGCTGTAGTCAAATCAGCACAAACCCGATGACTTCACGGCTGTGTTCTGGATTCACACGAAGAAGAACGAGACCAAACTTGAACGGAGCAGAGTCCCAGATTGCTGTCTCACTGCGGCTCAGCCTTACCAGTCCCTGCTGCCGTGGCTTACGCAGCTGCAGATGTAGGGCCGCATTGCAACACTTCTGCATTGGTAGGGTGTGTCTTCTGCCATCCCTAATTTGCAGTGGAGTCCACGAGGCCAAGTACAGAATCACCTGCTTTCCATCTATTTTAGCAACGAGGAAGTATCTCAAGGAAGTAATTTCTGTCACGGGAATTTATCAGTCTTTCCTGTTTTGTTTTCTTTGGTAAAACAAGGGTGAAGACTCCGTGAAGGGTTTCATGGGAACAACTATGACGAAAGAGGAAGTGTGTAGTGCTACATTTCCCAGAGGATAAGGGAAAAGCATCCTTTCCCTCCAAAGGGCTGGGAAAGCTTCGCTAAGCACCTTCACTCTTCCCAGTCTCCTGCTGGGAGGTTGAGGGCTGCCAAAACACTTCTACCCAGTCCTATTTAATGTGTATGGAAACCTGTGGGCAAGAAAAAGAACTGCATCTGGAATCAAATGAACTTTGGTATTTTATATAAAATCCTCTGAGATGAGTCCTCTTCTTTCTTCATCCCTCCTCCTTTGCTGCTGCATAAGGGTAATCACAACCTATGTTTTCTACAAACGTTGTAATCCTTTGTACCAAAGAAAAATATTGTGGCTCATACAGTTCTGACTCAACTGGTAATTTAGGATGACAAGCAATTCCTTTAACGTATGATTAAACAAGCTAATAGGAGGATGTTACCAAATAGCATGCACCTTATTCAAGAGCACTTGAAATAGCACGCATGAGTCTAATATCTTCTTGGTAGGATTTTAAATACCTAATATTTTATTAGGTTTCCTAGCAATAGCTCTTGTAGTGAGGCTCAGTACACTTGACCATTGCAGAATGTCAAAGCAAATCTCTTTGTTCCCACTCACGACTCTCTCTCTGTGTGACTGCACCACTAGAATAAAATGATTAAAGTATCTTTGCGTAAAGAGGAGAGGCAGATGCAAATGCATATGTTGATGAAGAAGCTGTAACAGATGTCCCTCTGCTCTAAGCTAGCTGGAATGCAAATCACCTGAATTTTCATGATGTCTCATTGACTAATTACTTCTAAATGCTCTTCCAAGTCTCATCTTCATGGAAAAAAACCCATTTATTTTCCTCCAGCTCATGAAGCAGGCCTGTAATGATTGGCTCAACACAATTTTTTCAACTTCTTTGTCCTAATAGCATGCTGCAAGTCAGGGTACAGACAGGACAAATGAACTTGAGGCAAGAGCCTACAGAGGTCCAAGTCAAGGATTTAATGATGGGACCCAAGGAGTGAGCTTCTGTGACTGAGCAGGCACAGTGGGGCCCATTTTGTGCCATGTCTGAGAACTGGGAGAAGGCTGGCCAGGTAGTAGAAAGGCAACCAACACCGGTCAAAGTCCAGCCTCTGTCTCTACAACCTTGTTCCCTGACATTCCTTCTGCAGAGACTATACGGAGCAGGTATGGAAATGCACAGAGGAAAGAAGGAAAGATATGGGAACAATATTCTATGTAAGAAATGCAAGATAAGAAAACTTCTAGAAAAAAAAATATGTAAGGGCCAGACTAATTTATGTGACTTAACCCGCACCTAACTGTCAAGTGTCTGACATTTCTTGTTACCTAGCTCTAAGCGTCCTCAAATCAATGAGAAACACTAAGCCCAGAAATTGGCCTGAATTTAGGCCAGAGGAATATGAGTCACAACAAATCAAAAGAGCCATAGGATTGAGAAAGTGACACACCATCAGAAGGGGAGGTATTGGAGGGCAAAACCAACCCATATGAGGAAGTCCAGAAAAAAAAAAAGACTAATAAAAAAGGATAGTCACCCATGCTGTGTTTCTAGTGATCAAGAGGAAGCAGCTAAATACCTTTTCTGCTTTGTGGTAGCCATCTCAAGAGCCTTTGGATAGACTGGAAACAGTCTCGTGGTGAGGCACAGCCTTTGATGCTGGTACACACAGATATTTTCAGTAGCTCCCTCATCAGATTCAAAGAGGAGAAAATAATGCCATATGGAGATACACATGAATACATGCTTAATCACTTACTTGTGCCCAAACAAACTTTTTCTCCACAGGAACATATGAGGAGTCCATTGCTATGGGGATAACTGTTCTGGCAACTAGCAAGTATTTCTGTTACCAGCTGGCAAAGGGCCAGCCGGTGCCCTGATTATCCCACACATATGCCAATCAAGGTCCAGCTGAGCCTGGATGATATGCTGGGCTTGCTTCAGTAGCCAAGAGAAAACAGTTTTGAAAACCAAAGCCCAACTGTGGAGTGATGTAGGTTGTGTGTAAACATCCAGCCACCTCTGAGTTCCCAAACCAGATAGCCACTTACAGGCAGCGTATCTGAAAATGGCACACGTCCAGGGGGGAAATGTAAACTCAGGTTTTAGAAATTTTACCTGATCTGTCTCCACACACTCATGTGGGTTGTACATTTGTTTGTTTTCCGCATGATGTCTTCCACGTGTCAGAGACAAGACTGTCACAGAGTAGCCAGCTCCTTCACGTGAGGTCTTCCGGCTCCTCACCAAACTTGACATGAAGGCTGAGGTTAGTACAAAACAAATAGGGAGAGAAGGCAGCAAGTTGATACATCTTCGGAAATAAATTCTGCAAAGACTGGGAAGACCTGGTGAAGGCTGAAACAAGAGAGGTTTGTTTCAGCTCAGTCTACTGGTTCTCCCACGACAGAGCTGGAAAGGGAGCTATGAGATTTTGCCGCAATGCTCCTCTTTGGCCAGCGTTGAGGCCAGGGGGCTGACAGCAGTTAGGCAGAGATACTGACTGGGTGTCACAGGTTTGTGCTGGAATAAAGGAGAACTGTGAAGGACTCTACCCTAGACAGAGCATTTGCAGTGCCTTCACTGAGAAGAGCAAGAAAAAACAGCTGGAATAGCTGACCCCCAAGGGGAAAACTAAGGAAGGAAATGTTGGAAATAGTTGTTTGCATGTGAGGCTCTTGGAACTCATAGCCCAAGACCTGAAAAATAAATAGCTCCCTGACTGGCAGCACAGTGGCTGGAGAGCACTCTCTCCTGCCCTGAGGCATTACTCAGGAAGGTCTGCCTTCCTCCAGCACCAGTGCTGGTGCATCTCTGGTGAAAGTCTCGTGGCCTTCAGACTAAAAGCATTCAGTGGTAGTAAAATCAAGCTAAGTTCACTTCAGCCAAAGTCTAAAACAGATAATGAGAAAACAGGCTCACTGAATGCTTCTCCACTTTTGTTTTCACTTTAAGGACCACAGATACCCCACAGCCACTGAGCTCCTATTCCTGCAGCCACTTAAGTTCTCTCAGAACCTGTAAGTTGTTTTTTTTACCTTTAAAATCCTAGTAGGTCCTTTGTTTATTATTATGCAAGGATTTTGTCTTTCGTTTAACAACACACAGCCTTCATGTCAGTAGAAGAAAGCCTAAGGTTGCAAACACTAGAAGTGTAAAAGCCAGTAATCCTTTTCTTTTCTCAGTCTTCTTCAACATTTGGCACTGGTGACAATGAAAACATGCAATAGTGAAAGACCTGTGTGAGTGAATTACTGTGTAAAGCTGCCCATCTATGCAACATGAGTGCTCTTTTTGAAGAGAATAATTTTATGGAACGAGGGAGGAGAAGATTTGTAGTTCTGCAGGGACCAGAAAGGTTTGACCTGGCTTGCTTTTTGGGATTGGAACATCTATAAGAGGATTCGGTGTAGATCCCCTGCTGTCTAAGAAACTGCACACTCACGCACGCTGCGCACTTCGAGGCTCTATATTCTTGCTGCCTCCTCTCACTTGCAGAAACTCAACCAATTTGAATTCTCTGTTCCTCTTTTAAACTTGTCTGGAGTAATCGTGTAACCCCTCTTTCAGGAAGAAACCAGACTTTGAGGTCCCCAGATGGTTTCTGAACAAGAAACTGAAACAAATCTGAGCTGCTGTCTCCCCCCAGTGTCAACATATTTTTTTGTTCAAGGCTGCAAGTGCAGCATATAGGATATGCCCACAGGTAAAAAAGCCTGCTGTAACCTATCCATTGATAGCATAGATCAAAACTCTACCCTGATATATTGGAGAACAGACATTAGTTCAGATTTGGGCAAGGACAAGATCTCTTCTAATTTTGAAAACCCTAGGATATCAGCCTGGTGCAACACCCATCAAAAGCTCTAGGGGTTGTCTATGCTGTAGCACTATTCAGAAGCTACAGAAAAAAACGCAGCCACGTTGGACCAGATTTGAAGTCTTACATGTCCAAAGAGTTTTTCTGATCTGGCTGTAGAGGCAAAAAGGTGGTGATGTGGAGGACTTCTGAGGAGAATCCTTACAGCTGCTTTCTACCCTGTTCAAGCCAGGCTCCTTGTGGTAATTCCCTTCTTGCACATATTTGGCAAGGTAGGGCCCCCAGATTTTAATGCCAGGCTTGATTGCTTTGGGTTCTAAAAGGTGCCCAACTGCTTTGATGCTAAATCACTTGCTTTAAAGAGAGATTGTGTACCTTTCACTCTGCTTACAGAGCAGTTGTATTTCAGTTTAAAAAAAAAAAAAAGCTCGTTATTGCTATCAGTCTAGAAATATCTGTGTTTGGTTGAGAGCCTATAAAAATGTAGATTGGGGGCAATATTCAAAGGCAATCAGTGACTGCATGGAATCAAGACAATGCTTACTTTTGATGCTGGTGGACACTACACAGGCCTGACAATTTCCTGTTAAGGTTTGGGCGTGTGGCTTGGCCAAGTATTTTGGTGCCTTTCCCTTAATAGCTGTTTAATGGAGGTGGTTAGCAGTCTGTTCTCACTGAACACCGCAGAGCCATTCAATTAAATTACCATTCAACTCCGTATTTGCATAGACAGATGACTGCTGAGACCTGAGGGAAACCACTACGAACTCCCTAGCCTGCCAGTCCTGAGGCTGCTGTAGCAAGGACATTGCTCTATCCCAGGAATGGGTTTCTGCAGTACTTATATTCCCTAGTCACCAAGGTGACCGCACGAACAGAGAGATTGTAAAAATCACTGCAGTTCCCAGTGAGTAACTCCACCACAGCGAGAGCTCTCTGAACATCAGCTGTATCAGCTGCACGAAAACTTAGTCAGGTAACCCTTGAGAGACAGACACTTCAGCGGCGTACGCTGTGTGACCACAGCAGGCACTTCGGCCCACAGCTGCAGGGAGAGGGCAGGAGCGAGCCATCGGAGAGGCCTCCCGCATCCTGCTGGACTCCCAAGGCTTCTCCAAGGGCCCTCCACCTCTCCTCTTCCCTCTTCTTCCCGCTCCACAGCCAGATTTCAGCTTCACCTTAACTTCCAGAAGATACAAGGATCTGAGAAGTGCTTTATAATGGAAACATAAAGGCAAACATACCTGTTGGCACTGCTACACTTTCCTAAGCCTTTATTTCTGTGAAAAAAATCTACTCTGCTGATTAACCTACCGTGACCAAGTTAGCTTATCCTCCAGCATTTGGTGTTATTGCACATGCAGGAATAGCTAGTAATGGTAACGAAAACCGTCTCTGCTTCATAGGCCAAGCAGTAAATAGAGGGCCATACACAGTTCTTGGACACTGTGCATAGCAAAATAATATAATAAACCTCCTAGCATGGAACTTCCTCAATGGCGACACTGTGATTTGCATTAATCTAAGAAACTCCTAGGTGCAGAAAGTGGTTTGAAAAAGACCTGCCTGGAAAAGCTCCTTTCCTGGGTTTGTTCATCTGGATTCAACAAAGGACACACAAGTCTCAGATTTAGACCCTTGCAGGATGCAGCTACTCTCAAGAAGTTGCGCAGAGCCCTCCCCATTTCCTTCTGTCTGTCCATGAACCTTGTACACACCCATGATGGATTCAGAGTGGTTTTCTCTTTAAAACCAGCCACCTCCTTGCAGCTAATCTTTAAAAACTGCCTCCCCTGCAGCTCTAACTGTAGCATTTGAGTAAGCACCAACCAAGGCCATTATTTTTTTTTTTTTAAACAAAGGATTTTTTTATTGCATAAATAGAGGCTTAGATATTTTGCTGTACGTATAAAAAGTTGAGATACAGTTTCAGTCAATGTTACTCTTCAGGGTTTTATTCCTTTGACATATCCTTCATCTACAGGAAGGCTTCTTCATTCTCCCAGGAAAGGAATCCAATCCAAGCTTCCAAGTGTCAGAAAATCTGCACAGTGGGGAAACAGCAATGAGAACAGCAGGCATGATACGCTGGCAGCACATGGGCTAAATCTGCCTGCCCACGTGGTACGGTGCAACCAGAGCTACTCACAGCTCTGTGGTGCTGACACTGGAGAACATTTTTAGGGTAGGAGAATTCACCCCTTCTTGCAATCCCGTTATAGAAAGACATGGCTGACAGTCCTAGAGATGGCAGAATTTAGGAAGAGCTGGGCCTCTGGTGGGCAACACTGGGTGACTGGACAACTAGGGTATTTTCTGCCAAATCAGAGATGCTTTAATGCCAGTCGTTCAACAAGGTCAACATCTCATGCCCAGACCCAGAGGCCTTGTGGGATGAGCTCATCACCCTGGTGCAGCAATCTCTTGGGCTATGGGCTCTGCCATGCAGAACTCCCTGGGACCCACCACTGCACACACAGCACAGTATGGTCTGCTCGTTAGAAGTAGCCAGCTCGCTCACTTGCAGGGCAGCCCGTCTCTCATTTGTTCAGCAATAGAACTCCATATAACTTACTCTGACTTATTCTGCACAAATGGAAAGAAGTGTTCTCACCGCTTTTTCCAGTGGCTAACGAAAGTGATTTAAAATAAAAGTCTTAAATGGCACAAGTCTGCCCAGAGATAAGTCCTCAATCTGATGGAAACAGGAGACTGAAAAACATCTTTGTTTTTTGTTGTTTTTTTCTATACAGATGAACGACTTCCTTCCCACAGTTATTTTCAGGGCCTCATTTCTAGTCACAATTTGCAATCCTTGTTGCATTAAATAAAAGTGAGATAGGTTTGAAATAAAAAAACTAGTAAACATTTCTAAAAATTGAAACTCTTCAATAGGTGAGGTGATGACCTCAAAAGAGGAAAGTAAGTTTTGTAGTTTAATAAAGAGTAACATTACATCAAACTCCCACTGATCTTACAAAGGGCAGGCACAAATAGAATCTCCATTTTGCTGCAAAACAGAGAGATGTGAAATGAATTGATACAAAAATCACATACCAAACAAGTCAGGGAATATAATCTTACCACTAGGCAGTACTCATTTTGCTAACTGGACTTGATCCAACCTTTACACAGCAGAACTTCCTGTGCAATTGGCTGGGTGTAAAAATTCAGGAAGATTAAGAGCAGAGAAGGAAGGCTGTGCTAAGATCTCCTAAATCACAAGCCATGGCTGCCAAATTCTGTGGTGATAACTGCAATTCCTACAAAGAATGGGCATGATACAGGTGTGCAAATATGCTGAAACATCCCAGGAGACACAATATTACAAGAACTGGTGATAGTTCTAATTGCACAATCCAAATTTATCCAAGCCAAAACATAATGGGATTAATATGTCAATGCCATTATCAAACATCAGGATGTTGAATAAATTCTATACCTGAGAGGCTCTTCAATCATCCTTCTCTGCTTCTCTTTTCAGTTTCTCTTCACGTTCCCTCTTCAGTTTTTCTTCAATTTTTTTGCTCTTGTACATCTTTACTCCAGCAAACGCTAAGCAAAGAATCAATGTTTTAGCTGCCAAAATGTACATCAGCAATGGGAAATTCTCCAAAGCCTGAAACGCAAAATAATCTATTTAGGCAGTTACTGGAACACTTGGACAATTAACAAATGAATCTACAGGGATGCTATACAGCTTCCTCCAGCAACAGCATTATTCAAAGCAATGGTAATGCTCCGCTGTTCAAGCGTTTTTTCTGTAGGAAACTAAAAACCTATGCAGATTAACATCTAGGGAAAAGGACAAAACCAAGTTCACTTCACTCAAGTTTGTATATGAAGCCCCTTTGAACAGGTCTTTATTGCTTTTGCTTGCTTTACAGCAAAAGGAATATTGGCACAATATGGAGCTGAAAAACGGGAAGAACTTAACATCTTAGGATAATTGTAAAAGTGTAAACATTTCTGAACAATTCTCACATAAGCAATGGATCTGTGCATATTAGCTATCAAATGTGATCCCCAAAGACAGTCTTGTGCTCCTAGAAATTTTAACCTATGGTAGTCTTGCAATTAACTTGCTCAGATCTGGAAGGTATAGATAAATGCCTATAAACCAGAAGAAAAGTAAAAAACACACTGCCTCTAATGATTCAGTTTCAGGAGTTTTTAATGCCTGGAACCACTGAAATTGCACAACATACTTCAGTGTTATAAAAGCATGCTACATGGAGTGGAAAATAAAATGCAAATTAGTAACACTGTGAACTCGGAATACAAATATAATGAGTGGCACAGGCACTCAGCGAAAGACGTCAGTTCCAGAAGGACAGCGAAGGTACATGAACTTCCCAGACCACTGTTTCAAAGAGCCATCTGGCCAGCAGGATCGGCCTGGTCTTTCAGTGATGCACCGTAGGTTCACAGTGCCAGCTCCTCTTGAGCAAGCCTCCCAGTACCCCCCCGTACCTTTATCAGGCCTTCTAGCACCTCATAAAGCTATTTGGCGACTGTCAAACTACTGAATTTAGGAAAAGCCTTGTACCCATACACCATTACTGTGTCCCCTTAAAGTCCACAAATCAGAGGCTCAGCTGGGGTCTTTTAGAATGCTGACCTCTACAAGCTGGCCATTACCTTTGACATCAGGCTACTCTCCTCTTAACTTTGCAAAAAAACATAATTGTCTGTCAATCTCCCCACATACCAAAAGTGGCAATCTCTTTAAACCACAGCTCTGCAACACCAGAAAGGTAAAGCCAAGGCTTGGGGTTAGCATTGCTTTCTTGATAAATAGTTTATTTTTACATTTAAAATTGTTAATCCATAAGGTACTTGCTCAAACATTTCTGTGCCCTGCACATGTACCCTGCAGAGTGTTTATGGACCCAGTACACTAGAAGACATACTGGAGAAAACATCCTCCAGTAACGACAGGAGCTGAGGGAAGAGCAGCCAGAGAAAAGCATGGAAAGAGGAAAGCCAGGAGAAGCAGAGGCGAGCAAAGCAGAAACCACCTTTAAACAGAGGACCCACCCAACCACATCTTACATGCATCTGCTTGAAAGAGCAGAAATTCACTGCTTTATGAATGTGGAACATCCTCACCTTCCAGTTAAATGCCACCATCTTGGCTGTGTGATGATATCGTCCGTCCCGCAGCAGGCTGCGTCCAGTACTGACAAGCGTCACACTTCTAAAGGTACAGACCAGGGCAGAAGCATCTTGAAGAAATGGAAATTAAGAAAGAATAAGCCAATCTGTTTTACCCAGTGTGTACACCCCGCACCTCTCTGATAAGCTCATCTGCTGCGCAGCGCCTGGCAGCATATCAGTGCCACAGGGCTCAGGAATGACCTACATGGGCCTTTTTGGAGCTGAGTGACAGGAGCAACGTCTGTGCTGCTGAAGGACAGAGGTTAGACAGGCCCCAGGCAGGTGCCACGCTTGCGCAGAGCAGAGGCTGCGCTTCCACCACACGCAGCACATCCCAGCAGCTGCCCAACCGAAAACCCAACGCTGCTGCCTGCTTTTGAAAGCTTGACACGTGTGCACGTCACACCACTTCACTGATGTTTGAGATGTAGCGGACAGAAGAGCACCCAGAAGAGCTGTCTTGTGGTTTTTTTTAAGCTCATCTGCCCTGTTCTGAGCCTGAATACCAAATGAACCCTGGTATCTAATATCATTTACCAGTTCTCTCTGATTTACTAATAAATTAAATTCCCCATGCAGCCCATAATAACACAGAAGCAAGACAATCACTTGCTGCATCCCTTGAGTGGTCAACGTGTGTTTCAGAGCTGAACTCTGGGCCTGAGAAATGCCCGAGGGGATGCTGAAGGCTGCAGCATACAGCCACAATACTGCCTTCCGGTCTCTGCTTGCTGCTCCACCAGCACTGACACGATTTCAGCTGCTGGATTTCAAATTAAGGACATTTCCCTGCCTGACCTCCTCGAGGTGTCTCCTGTATGTGCAACAGCAGAGTCTCTGTCAAAAAGCAGGAGGAAGCCCTACAGCTTAGCACAAACCTTCACCCACAGCTGAGCTGAATAAATCACCACCACGCCACAATATCTGCTGTTGACCTTTCTTCAGCAACAGGGAGTCAAGTAAATGTTCTTTTTGCCTTTATTACTCCAGCTAGGGTTTCCTCTCCTCTTGCCCCAGCTGCAAAATCCTCACCCTGCAGAGACCACCCCTGAAATGTCTCCACAGAGAGACAACACTGGAGATCTCTGTTACCAAGATCAAAATACACCGAAGCAGTGGCATGGCCAACTCTTTTGTCATTCAGTATTTACTTGCACTGATCCTACCGTTGTGCAGCTTCCTTCTCCTGCTGATAAAATGTCAGGGCAGCTGTGAGCTAATGAGTCAGTAGTGTCACACCTCCAAAAAAAAAAAAAAGGCATTTTAACTTCTGATGTTTCCCCCAGAATTTCAGCAACCATCAATATTTGAAGTGCCCTGCCAGATGGTTACAGCAAAAATTCCCTATCAGAGCAGAATCTGGTTCTCAGTACACAGTTCAGATGGCTACAGGCTTCTCCCTAAAACCCAAGTTACTTGGGTTGTGTAACCCAAGTTACACAAGCCTGGCCCGATCTGAAGGGACTGCACTGCCCAACTGGGGTGTCCTCATCTCAAAATTCTGACTTGGGTGGGGGCTTCATCAGACACACTCTTCACTGTTCTCATAAATTGCTGTAAATTCTGTGCTTCAGTCAGAATCAATTTGCAACACGTTGTAAAAAGGCAAGAATTCAGCCATTCACAGACAGGCTAGCATCTGGCATATGATGCTGAAAATCACTAAAAGTGATTTTTTATGTACCTAAAAAGTTTCAGACTCAGCAAACGTTATGTGAGCCCATCTGTGGGGTCTAATTGCAGGGTACTATCCCACCAGCAAGAAGCAGCGCACAATGTGTATCACAGTGTGCATTCCTGTGAATGTTCTTGGTTGTGAGGCGATTATTTAAGTATTCAGCGCAACACTTCTGTAAGATTTCCGCCGTGCTGAGACATGAGCCTGAATCTGCCTGAATTATGTGTCCACCAGGAGTAGCTGCACTGAAGTCACAAAGGACGGGAAGTAAAGAAATTCTCCCTTTGCTCTGAAGAGTGGTGTTTTGATCCAAAATGCTTCCTGTGAGAGCAGACACTGCTGATGGTCTGTCCTCACAGTGCCTTCTGCGGCTGGAACTGAGCAGAGAAGCCACCACTCTCTCCATGTTGCATTCCCACATCCTGTGACACCAGCCTCTGGTGGTCAAGCACTTCTCCCCATTTCACCTCTTGACTCTTCCAGTCTTCATTTTTTGATCCAGACCTTATTAAATACAGCTGAAAGCCCAGGACAGGAAAAAAAAAAAAAATGGATGGAGCTGGGGCACAGGGCAGGGAGAAGCATGTGGGAAAAGGAGAGAAAAAGGCAGAATTCATTTCACATTGGAAAAAAACAATTTGTTAGCACTGAGGTCATCAATTCAAAAGCAAAAAAGCTCAGACACTGTACTTTCAAGGTTGTGATATCTTAAAAGCATGCAGGCAAATAAACAGCTGAAGTTTCATGTTTGCCTTTTCAGAGGCAGATAAGGCACAGATAGGAGTTCAGAACACATCCACAGTCAGGCATTGTTCGTTCCCCAGGAAAACATAAGCTCCCTTAACAAACACAGCGCTACTAGGAATGGAGACTGGGCCCCACAGAAGGTCACTATTACCTTCACTCACAAGCAAGGCAGTCTTGTCTCGACCTACGTGAAAAAGAAACAGGAGTGCTAGGCTCTGCCTCAAGCCCTGCCAGAGACTCTTGTGAGACTCTCCAAAACATAACCATCACATACTCGTACATTCCTATGCAGAGTAGGGATAAAATGACATCACTCTCACACCTATCAGTTGCCTTCTTCACTGTGACTGCACCTCACAATCACTAGTTTATTTACACTCAGACCTCTCTGTGAAGCAGATCAAACTACTGCAGATGGGAAAGGTAAGAGAGGGTCTGCCCGCACTGCACACCTCAGTGCTGTACTAGCAATCCTCAGTTAGTTCCAAGTGCTGTGAAGTCTTCTGGGTGCAGGCAGAGAGTGTCACCAACACAGCCCTAGAGGCTCGTGTCCTCAGCACAGCTAAAGAGCCCTCCGGGAGGGCTGCACCAAGTCCCAGAGCTAGACTTTAGCTGATATCAGCCCCAGCATCTCTGCACAACGCTGTGTTGTGTAACACAGACCACCCCAAACAGACTAAGGAGTTGGGCTCCAGTCAGATGGGAAGTCTGTGGTGGAGCACAGAATTGAATCCAGGTCTCTCAGCCACTGAATTACAGCTCCAGTCCACCACAGCAACCACATCACAGCCCAGTCACTCACACCATTGTTTGTTTCTGCAGCAGCGGAGTATCAACCAGCCTGTGTGCACCAGAAAACATCTACACAGGCCTCTGGGTACTCAACAAACCCACTTGAGTTGTCTTGGCTGAACATCTCATGCAGCCTGACAATAATTCCATCTACTCAACAAAATGGGACTTGAGATATTCTTTTGTCTACTGGGGATTTCGAAGCAACATCATTTTATCCACTTTGTGAAAAGCTACAAAAGTCACCAGCCACAAGGCCTTGGAAGGCAGAGAGCTACTACGGTTATTTGACCGCATTTAAAATGGAGTGATGGCTGAGTATGTCCTGATCTAGAAAAGGGGTTTCACTCCAATTGTCTCTTGTTGCTGCTTTCTTTAATACATATGTTTCAGTAAGCAAAACGCATGCTTCCCACATGGACAGTCACTGGAGGACCCACCACTACACGTGACCTGCTGCATCATGCATCAGGACAGGATCAAGCCTTCTCAAAAAAAAAAAAAAAAAAGCCTACTGGATCATGGGAAAACATAGTAATATGGCATAGCCCAAAGGCTGCAGAGAAATACAGCAGAAGCAACTGTGAGCCACAGCTGGTGCCCTAAGAATCCAACACAAAACACTGCCACAAGATGCAGCAGTTATATTAAGTCAGAAGCGCTCAGACCTGTGCACATTTAGAGCCCCTCTGTGTAGGTAGGTCAAGATACCACTCCATAAAAAGACCTGGGTAATCACTCAGTTTATACTAGTGTCACTGATAAAGAAATTCCTAAACTAACACCAACTCAAGGAACATCAAAAACATAAAGCCATATAAGATATTTATACCTGAAGAAGCAGAAATGAAAATTTTAGTGATTCTTCTGGCAGCTCCTCACATGCTCCAAACTCTGGGGAAATAAGAACAGAGCAGATGGGATGTATCAATCATGGCACCTGGATTCAAATCCAATCCAATCAAAACCAAAAATGTCAGTGGCACATCAGACTGGGTCATTTCAGCCATGTCCCAGGGTCCTTACGTGCTGCAGGCCCTCACTCGCTGCCACCACCTTGCCCTAGGAGGGTCTGCCGGGCTGGCAGCCTCCCCTGCCCCCCAGCTCTGCCCTCTCACCCGTCCTGCTCCCTGCAGCACCAGTGCCCGGCACAGCCAGCAACCCACACATGCACTTGAGGAAACCATTTATTTTCAACAAATGTTAACTTCAGATCCCTCTTTCTTACTTATTTGCTTCAGTTTTGTTCAAGAAAGCAGCAAAACTCGCAGCAAAGCACGCTT